CGGCCGGCGCGCCCTGCCCCCGGCCCGCCCGGCCCCTCCCCTCCCCGGGGCTCACCGCCATCTTGGAGGGGGGTCCCCGGAGCCTGCGCAGGAGAGAGCGTGGAGAACGCGCCGAGGTTGCCGCCGCCATCTTGGAGAGGGGCAGCGCCGCGGCCGCTCCCGCCCGCCCTTTCCCGGAAGGTCCTCCCTCGCCGCGCGCGCCTCCCCGGATCGGCGGCGGAAGTGCGCGGCGCGTGGCAGCCGCCCCTTCCTCTCTGCTCGGCGGCGGCGGAGGTGCGCGCGGAATCGAGCGCGCGGGAGGAGGGAGCGGCACGAGAGAGTGAGCACGCGACCTCGCCCCGCCCACGGCGCCCCTCGGCGGAAGGGGCTGGGGGGTGGGGGTCCCGCGCGGCGCCGTCCTCGGCCGATTGGCCGCGAGACGCGCGCCGCTTGCCGGGGGCCAATGGGGGCCCCGCAGGTTTTGGAGCCCTCGGCCAATGGGGGCGGGCGCCGTGCCGGGCGCGAAAACGGAGTGCGCCGATTCGCTGCTGCGCGGGCGTTCCTCTCGGGCGGCCAATGGGGTTGATCGGCGGGAGGGGCGGCGCCGTTGCTGCCGGCGGGCGCCATTGCTGCGGGTGAGGCGTGAGGAGTTGAGGGGTGGGGAAGCGGAGGGGAGGTCCGGAGCCAAGCGAGTTCCTTTCCGTTACGAGGTGAGGGCGGCGATGGGTGCCGAGATGGAACAGCCGGGAGAGGTGGTGGGCTCCGCCGGCGGCAGGGTGTACCTGGACCACAACGCCACCACCCCGCTGGCCCCGGAGGTCGCGCAGGCCGTGGACGAGGCGGCTCGTCGGGCCTGGGGCAACCCTAGCAGCTCCCACCCTGCAGGTAAGGCGGAGGGGCGGCGGTTGGGCCGGACGCGGGGCCGTGGGAGGTGGAGCTGCCGGGCTGTGTCCCGCAGGCAAGAAGGCCAAGGAGCTCATCGAGAGCGCCCGGGAGAGCCTGGCGAGGCTGGTGGGGGGCCGGCCCGAGGACATCATCTTCACCTCGGGGGGCACGGAGGTGAGGGTATATGGTGGCGAATGGCCACCGTCTCTGTGCGGAGGGCATGGGGAGAAAGGGTGCCGCGCGTCCCCTGGGTCTTAATTCCCCCCTCTCTCCTTCTCAGGCTAACAACATGGTCATCCACACGGCCCTCAGGTACTTCCGAGAGAGCCAAGGGCAGGGCCGTGCCGTGCCGCACGTCGTGACATCCAACGTGGAGCACGACTCCATCCGCCTGCCGCTGGAGCAGCTGGTGAAGGAGAGCCTGGCAGGTGAGAGGGGTGCTGGGAGGGAGCAGGGAGGGATGGGATTGTGGGTATTTGGCTACAGCTGCCCTGAAATGGCACAAACTCCTGACACGTGCCCACATTCCTGCAAGCTGGGCATGGTAGCTGGCTGGTATTAGACACTGCTGACCCAAGAGCTGCAGGACTCTGTCTGTATGCCAGCTGCCCGCACAGCCCTTCTGCTCTTCGTTAGTGTTTGGGCAGCACTGAGGGGCTTCTCAGCAAACCTGGGGACTTGTTTCTTATCTTGCAGAAACCACCTTTGTGCCGGTGTCCCCACGAAGCGGGCGGGCCGAAGTAGATGATGTTCTTGCGGCAGTGCGGCCCACCACCTGCCTAGTTACCATCATGTTGGCCAATAATGAGACAGGGGTCATCATGGTGAGTCTCTGGATAGCAAGTGGGATGGGATGCAGCCAAGAAGGTGTTCAGGAGACATCCTTGTAAGAAGGTGTTTAATAAGACAGAGGAAGTGGTTCCTCTGATGCGGACTCCCTTCCTGTCAGCCTGTTGCAGAGCTGAGTCAGCGCATCCGTGCCTTCAACCAGAGGAGAGCGGCAGAGGGGCTGCCCAGGATCCTGGTGCACACGGATGCAGCACAGATGATTGGCAAGGGGCGTGTGGATGTGCAGGAGCTGGGGGTGGATTACCTCACTGTTGTGGGGCACAAGGTACAGCTTTGCTCATGAGGCTCAGACACCACTTGCGTTTGTGGATGTCTCTGGTCAGCCCAGGGCAACTAGCAGAATGTTGCTGGGAAAGCACTGTGGGGCACAGCTGTGGGTTTCCAAATCTCCCAGATGCTGAGATCCCAGGAAATCCCCCAGCAGCTGAGCAAAGCTGGCTGGCGGGGATCATGCTGGTCAGGGAGATCTGCCTGGAAGGGAAAGTAGGAGGTGACTGAGGGCTGAGGACAGCTCTGCGGGGCACTCAGTTTGCTTTAGGCAGCTGTCTGTCACCGGGGCACCTGGCACTGTGTCTGCAGGGTCAATGTGATTTTTCGGTTTTGTTTTTTTACCTGCAGTTCTATGGCCCACGGATTGGCACACTGTATGTGCGTGGTCCTGGCACCACCACCCCACTGCACCCCATATTCTTTGGAGGTGGGCAAGAAAGGAATTTCCGACCAGGGTAATGTGGCTATTCACTGGCAAAATTGCACTGGGCTGCTCAGCCTGAGCTGAGGTGTCAGCACTATCATTTCCGTCCCTGGGCTGGAGAGATGGTTGGTGGTGGGAGCTTCAAGTGCAGGCTTTGCATAGGTGGAGTAACAGGGTGAGCTGTCCCCTTCCCAGCTGTATCAGAGAGCTCCCTGTGGTGAGGGGTCCCATATGGAGAGGGTTTGTGTCCTGAGACTGGAGAGTGGACTAGAAGGTCCAGGTAGATAAGTCACTGCTCACTCTTCTTTTCCAGCACTGAGAACACCCCGATGATTGCTGGCCTTGGCAAGGTGAGTTGGAGATAGGTGAGAGGTTCCTCGTGGTTGCTGCCTGGCAAAGCCAGCATGGACACAGCCTGCTGCACTCCTCAGTCTTTAAAAATGACATACTGAGTGCAAGAGGACAGTTGAACTCCAGGAAAATGAGATGGGAGTTTCTGGTGCCAGCCTAAGGAGCTGCTTCAAAGTACACACTGCAGACTTTGCCCTGCAGACTCCCTAGCAGTGGGGCAGTCACAGCTAATGCTGCACAGGGCACTGAGCGCCTATTGGGAGACAGGAGGAGTGGCAATTGCAGAGGTGGTTCCTGGGCTGCAGTTGCACGCTTGGGGGCTGCATGTGGAGGGAGTTGTTTAAAGGTTACTGACAGAACCTATCTGTGTCTTTTCAGGCCGCAGAGCTGGTGAGCAGGAACTGGGAGGCCTATGAGGCCCACATGCGGGATGTTCGGGACTACCTGGAGGCCAGGCTAGAGGTGAGCGGATCTGGCTCCGGTTGTTTCTCCCCTTCCTGGATCTCAGCCTGCAGAGGCAGAGCCCTGGGTTGAAGCAAGTATGTCCTTCTGGCTCAGCCAGGACGCAGCTGCTCATGTTCTCATAGCCCTCTGATTTCTCCAGGCATCCTTTGGGAAGATGAGGATCCACTTCAACAGCCAGTTTACAGGCTCCAAGCGACTCTGCAACACCTGCAATGTCTCTATCTTGGGCTCAGGCCTTCAAGGTAGCTCTGTTCATATGTCTCCTTTGTCCAACTTCCCCATTGTGCTGCAGCATGCTGCATGCTTGAGGGCCGTGGGAGCTCAGCCATGGCTTGGGCAGAGAGTCTCAGGGGGAGACTGGGCACTGAGAGATTTGTGCTCGTGTGTCTTGCAGGGCGCAGGGTGCTGTCTCACTGCAAGATCCTTCTCGCCAGTGTTGGGGCTGCCTGCCACTCTGAGAAAGGAGATCGGTAAGCAGCTGGCCCTAGCAGGGCATCTTTTCATAGGGTAGAGGGTGGGAGGGAGGGAGATAAGGCAGGGGAAGAGACTGTGGGTGGCTGTTGGCATCACTGCCCTGCAGCAAAGTGAGTGCAAAGCTTTCTAGAGAGGCTGAAGGAGGTGAAGGAGGTCATTGCAGGAACCACAGCTGGAACGCATGACTGCTGCTGGTGATGCAGCTGAGATTGGAAGTGCTCCTCAGTGCCTGGCGCTGCCATAGTAGAATCTGCCTTATGTCTGTGTGGGTCTGGCTCACCCACTGAAGCCCTTATTGGGTCTCCAAGGGACTCCTTTGGTTGCATATGGGACACCAAGTCCTTTTGGGCTGATGTAGAGCAATGCCATCTGGAATTGCCAGTCCATGGCGACATTGGGGAGCTTCATTCTTGGAGGAGAAAAGCCAGATCTGCCACAGGGAAACAAGCTGTGTGGAGCAGATGCCTTTTCCTGGAGTGCATCTGTACAGACGTGCTCCTTATTCAGGCTCTGCGAGGCGGTCTGGTGATGCGTTTTCTTGGTTTTCAAATTAAACCCACTCACCTCCACGTTTGTTTCAGGCCCTCCTCGATTCTGCTGAGCTGTGGGATCCCCTGCGACGTGGCGCAGAACGCCTTGCGGCTGAGTGTGGGGCGAGACACCACCCGCGCGGACGTGGACCTGGTTGTGCAGGACCTTGTGCAGGCTGTGGCACAGCTTGGCAAGGACCAAGCCTCATAGGCCCCAGGAGTCACTCCTTGCCTTCACCCAGGTTCTTGGGGTAGGATTGTGCTCTGCTTCACTCCTGGGTGCTGGCTGTGGCAACTCCTTTTATGCTGGTTGTACAGGGGCAGGATGGTGACCAAACTAATAGCAAGTCTTTGCTAACAGGATTTGCTCCTCCAGTCTTATGTCCAATCCTCTAACTCCATGGCTGCAGACTGAGTCAATTTGGAATCGGGATTTGGCAGGAATAACCTTCTGCCTGATAGCCCAGCCAAACTGACACAGCCTCCAGCTTGGGATCACTGATTCAACATTGTGGAAGTGGTGGCTGGAGGAGGAAGCAAGATAGTTTGTTTCAGCAGCAGTGTGCTCTCAGGTCTACTTAGCTGTCTGTTGCCTTGCACTCGCAGTGATAGCAGTATGGCTGGTTTGCCTCCACAGTGTGTGCTGCCTTAGCAGAAAAGCTTGCAAGCATGTGCTGGTGGCAGCAGGGAGCTGGGGGCTATGCTGAGGAGATGGCTTTGCTAATTTGGGGCTGGAGCAGCTCATCTAGTTCTTGCTGAGGACTCTGTTGTCTCTATTGCATGGTGCAGACCTATTTTGGGAGCATCGCTATCAGGCATTCCTTGCTTGCCAGCACATTTCTGCATGTGTCAAAGAGTCTCAGAGCTTGGCTGCCTCCAGAGCATAACAGGCGTGGAAGCCAAAGGAGCTGAAGGCTTTTGCACTGGTTGCTTTCCACAAAGGAAGCTGTCCTGCTGTCTGATCGCTGAGAGAAAGAAAGACCATCTGTCCCAAGGAGAAATGAGTTTATAGCGACACAGCAAGAGGCCGGGCTTGGGTACTGCACTGCCCCTGCCAGAGCCATAAGCCACAAAAATTTTCTGGCTGGGAAAGTGTTGGGTATTGCTTTCCCAGCACTGTATTGCATTTCTTTCTCCCTGTCCTTCCTACAGTGGGCAGAGCTCCTGTTGCTGGCTCCACGTGCTCTGAAAAGAAGTGGCTGTTGCAGGTGCCCTGAAGTGTGCCAGGGCCCGAGGAAACGTGTCACCCCTGCGTGGCCAAGGCAGTTCTGACATTAGGAGGACATGGGTGTCAAATGCATTGGGAGTGCTGCAGCTGGGCTGACTGATTTCTGGGAAACTGGTCTTCTGATATTCATAGGAATAAAAGTGATTGCCACTGCTGTGGCATTTTCTCATGTAAAATGTATTTTCCCTGGTGTTTTGGGGGAAGCTGGACTGGTTGTGGTCATAAGAGGGATGGTTTTTCCCTCTGAAAACACTGGTGTCCCAGCAGGCACAGTCTGCTGGCACGGGGAGGTGTCTGCTGATCCTGGCTGCAATGCAGCCCTAACCCCAGGGCTCCCCATCTGCTGTCAGCTGGCAGGGCTCACAACCAGCACTGCTGAGGAGTGGGCAGGGAGGGGGCAGTGGGGGGACCCTGATCACTCCTTGCTGCTGGTGTTGCCCCTGAGCAGGAAAACACAGGGCAGCAATAGTGACACTGGGATATTTTCAGAGGCCAAAGTGTCCTGGGACTGCTTAGAAACTATGGTAAGAACAAAGCCTTCAACTTCTCGTCTTCAAGTTTCCTTCTGGGCTTATTCCACCAGGATCAATTGCACCTCTGAGTGGCCGAACAGCTCTCAACTTGGAACGTTTTCCTGTTTCAGATGTCAGGTGCAGCATGCCCTCAGCCAAACCACTTCTCAAGTCCTTGTCTCAGCTCTAGACAGCAACTGGGTTCATCACGCAGATGCCAATCCAAGTCTCAGCACTGCACCCCTTGCCAGGGAGACAACTTGAGGGTGTGGGGGGAGGTTATTACTCATGGCACTATGATGGTCAGGGTGTGCTGAATTCATGGTACATCACGCCTGCCACCTGCCTTTCAGTTGCTTCCCAGATATCCTCGATATCTGGAACAGCATCAGTGTGTGTGTTTACTAACACCTCCTGCTACTAGGTGGGCTTTGCACCCATTCCTCCCTGCTACCCTGGTGGTCTCAGGAGCCTGAGGCCCCTAGGGCCAGTTTGCAATGGCTCAGGTTTTCCATCTGAAAAAATACTGTGATATGTCTTCTTTGTTGTTCTGTTTGAGGAAGTCAGAATCAATGGACTTGTAGTGTTCTTTATTGTCAGACTGTTTACCAACAAGGAAGATTTATTCATTATTTATTATTTATTTATTTATTATTATTTATTCTGTTCAGGGACCCAGATTCAATCTATCCCAATTATTGCTGTGGTTCACCAGATCATATATACTGAGCCATTCCTGGTAAGCAGCAATGGCTCGCTCCTTGCCTGGTGGCACGGGGTGCAAAACAAACCCACTGTGTGCTCAGACTCCTGCTGTGCCTTTTCAGCTGGCTCCCAGCAGTTCCAAGGAGTTCCCAGAAAGACAAGAAAGATGAGAGCAAATGCCTCCGATGCCTGACCTCACATTCCTTACTGATGGTCATGGCAGAGTAGGAAAGATGTGTGGTAGGGATTAATGCAATTACTAGGCTGCATTTAATTGCAGAACGCACAACTGTGGACGCAGGTCTTTCTCTTTCCTAGCTGTTAGCAGGGCCAGGAATGCCATCTGCAACCATGGACACTCCAGTGCTTTTTGTCCATTTAATTTTTAACTGTTTTTTAATTGTTAGGAACCAAGCACGCTGACTTAGAAAATTACTGAAAGGACACTAAGCTTGCATTACTTCTTTGGGTTGGAGAATGTGTTTAGGGCTGACTGTTCTGGGAATGGTTTTGCAGTCACTAAGTGCCTCCCAGGCTGTTTCTTGTAAACACCACTGCTCACACCTCAGTCTCAAATGCAGCTTTTATTTTTCCCTCTCTTGCTTAACAGTTGAAACCTCTTTTGGAGAAGGTGGCTCTAGAGAAGGAATACTGCCCTGCTCCATAGGTAGATCTTTTATTATCAGGAATTTTCCTGGAGCTCTCTTTCAGAGCTGTAGCAGAACTGCAGATCCACTCAAGGGCATGGGGGAAAGACACTTCTAGAGGTCTGGGCTTCCTGTGTCAGTTCAGATAGAAGCCTGACCACAGAGCACAAAAAGCTTTACTGATACATTCTCTTGTTTATATAGACACCAGAAACACAAGTGATAATCACAGAACTATTAGCATTACTTCATTTGGAATATTACAGCCAAAGTGTAAGAAGTGTTACAGAGGATACAGACACCCTGGTTGACCATTTTAATGTTTGTGCTCATCTTCCTACTACCACAGCGCACAGTAATGACAGATGCTAGTGGATCCCTCTGTCTCTATATTACTTTAGCAGGGTAAGTGAGGCAGAAGAGGCCTACAACTTGTCCTGTGCTCCACTACCCCCCGTGCTGGAGACAAATATCCTTTCATCACATGACAAACAGTGACTGTATGCGCTAGAACAAATTCACCTGTCATAGAAGTGTGGAAATACCAACGTTGCTACATCAGCTGTGAAGTTACACAGTAGAAAGAGGACCTGACCAGCACAGTAGGACACAACAAAGTTGGAATATGTTACTTTCATGTGGTCGCACACATAGCACATACAACAGTAACGCATGTCCAGAACTGGACAACAAAACCGCAGTTCATTTAATGGAAGAATCCACAATCTCCTGATAATCTTGCCTTCCTAAATTCTTCCAGGACAGTTTATAACATGCAAGGAAAAAAACACTAACTAAAATAACTGCTCCCCCAACAAGATCGTAAGTACCTGGCAAGATGCGCAGCACGATGAGCTGCAGGACCATGGCAATGACTATCTCTAGGTGCTGTACAGTGCTGACCAGAGCAGGGTGGAACTTGCTCAAGGCGTAGTAGACCCCCAGGAAGGCTGCTGTGGAACACAGGCAGATGGCGAGCAGATAGCTCCAGGTTTCTCCATCCAGCGGGACGATTGGCTCCTGAAGTAAGAACATGGTGGATGCTCCCCATACTGTTCCTGTCCAACTGAAGGTGAACAGTGCTGTCCACATGCTGATGTTATCTTTGATTGACCTGTAGACTATCATGGAGAGAGCGGTGGTCAAGCCTGCCATGACAGTCATGGTGTAGCCAAAAGCTTCCTTCCAGGTGCTCAGCAGAGAGTTTTCTTCCTTAACGATGTTGGGGATCATGACCAGACAAACACCAAACACGCTGCCAACTACCGTAACTATGTCTACGTAAGCCATTCCTTCATCGACTAGCAAAAAAGCCAAAATGGCACTGAACACTGTAGTGGTAGCCCTCCACATAATGGTCCCATTACTGGGGGGAACTATAGAGAAAGAAGTGTAAGCACACGTAATGGAGATAACGTTGCAGACCCCATAGAAGAAGAGCCGCAGTCTGTACCCTCTGGGGCCAAAGGGTGGCTCGTGGTAGTAACACACAGCAGTAATGGACAGCACTTGTAAGACTGAACGGATGAAAATTAACTCTAGTGATGGCACTTTGGAACGATCAGAAATTAATCGTGTAATTAGAGCCACGCATCCGTGAGCCACGGCAGATCCAAAAAGGACTATCCACATTTTCCTTGACTGCAGGATATTTCCTTCAGGAAAGTTCTGGAAATGCCCCGTCTCACTGGGTTTGGGCAGCTGTGCTGGCTGAAGCTGTGTGTCTGTCGTACCAAAAAAGGTCCTTTCTCTGTTTTTCCCAGCATTCAGTAGTCTTGTCTTTGGACTGTCCTCCATAAATACCCCTGCGTCTTCATTGCCATCCTCATCTCCCTCTTCTCCTGGCTGGGGATAATGAGATGTATATTTCACTGTTACCGTGTTGGGATGAATTTTCACTCGCTTTTTGACTGGATATTTTTGGGAAGGTGAATCCATTTCCTCAGAGAAATGTCCTGGTCTTAAGGAAAAAACAGGGATGCACCATTATTTTTTATTTCACGAATACTGAGAGATTCATTAATATGCAAATGCTGTTAGTGATAACAAACTATTTTTAAGAACCACGACCAAGTACACATAGATTGTTCTTGGTTTTGCTTTAGCTCCATTTTATTTGCCAACTCTTGAAAATGGCACATTCCCATTATGTATGGGTTGTACAACGTCCCAGTCTGTGTTCTAGCGAGAAAGGTCTCTCACTAAAGCTTTTTGGACACTAAATACCCTGTAATGAATTATACTTGTTAATTGCTTGCTAATTTTAAAAGATTACAGGAGTTTGGCAGGAGATGACAGCCTCATTTCTAACCCCCAGAGAACAGCACAGGGAAACAGTATCCCTGAGCGAGTCAGCCTACAAAGAAACAACACATTTTTGAACAATACTTGACAATGTTAAAATACCTTCTTCTTTTCACGTCTTATTTCCAGTGACTGACTTGGCAACAGACTTGTTCTTCAAGTCCCATTCAATGCCTATTTTGTTGTTCGCAGTCCCCTGCACCATGTGTGCAAAGAGCCCTTCCAGTCAGGCAGCAGCAGGGAGAATGGAACCTTCCTGTAGGAGGTGCAGCGTGCCCCACCAAATACACCAACAAACACGCAGACTTTACCTGCTCTTGAGAGGTTTGATTCCAAGCCAGAATGAGAAAACACTTCTCTGTCATCTACATCTTTGTCCACGTATCTAAACAGAAACAGTAAAAGCTCTGATACCAAACAGAACAGGGTACAGCAACCTTAGCAAAGAACGCTCGAGGCAGGCATGAGGCATTCTGATTTTGTTCAAAGTTGAACATTTGAGACGTGCTATGAGGCCATGCTCCTCTGCAACTGGTAACATTGGAGCACTGTTGGAGAAGGAAAAAAAAAAAGGAAAAGGCAACCAAGTGTAATCTTGCTAAAATCATGCTTCAACTTGATCTCGGAATTACTGAGTGAATTAATCTAAAGAGCAAATGGTGGCTTGTGAGCACAAGGTTCCTACAGTTTAATAACAAGAAAATTAACCATCTGATGCCCACTCACCTGCCTCTGCAGATGAGGGGATGCCCAAGAGGGCTCATCCTCCCCAGCAGCTGAGAGCAGCTCAGCCCCACAGGCCACAGCAGTTTGGCCTCTGGTGTGCATGACAGCCGTGGGGGGGCTGGGCTGCAAACAGCAGCACCTCGCAGGGACACCCGCAGACAGAACCCACGTAGAAGGCAATGACAGGGAGGTATGGTAGCACTTCACAGATAGCTATCGTGACCTGGTTCAGCCATCATGTTTTCTCCATCCATGATCAGTGACAGCCAAAGCAGTGCCTGTGCCTGGCCGACAACATCATCTACGTAAGAACAGTCTTTTGGTCAGGGTGAGAGTTTCTTAACCCCTTGCTTATACCCAAGCAAAGCTGTATCCCAGCTCTTAGATTGAGTGGTTGGTAGGGGCAGAGAGGAATGGGGCTGAAAGTGCACCCAGGACACCATGAAGTGGTGGAGGATCCAGGATTCCCATTAATGCACAGTATATATCCTGCAGGAAACCTGAGAGGCACCAGCTGAAATGCCAAGGTGAGTAAATAGAGGGTAAGAGCTGAGCATCAGCTGCACTCGAGGGCAGTGTGAACAACCCATCTGGCATTTAAAAACTACCAGCATTGTGCCCCAGTCTTATCTGCTGCTGCTTATGCTTTTTCTGTAGATAAGCTGTTAATTTCAGCTTCTTTTAACAAGCAAATGCAAAATGAACAGAATGAGTCCGGGGAGGCAGTGCCTTTTACAAGCACAGCTTTTCCTACCTAGTGTTTTCTTTGTGTTTTATATTCACTATTCTACCTTGCTCTCCCCACGTCTTAAAACGAAGACTTTGATCTCCACAATGCATGGGGAAAGTGGGAGGACAAAAATGCAAACAGTGCACACGAGGTGTTGTTTGAGCAGCAGTGGATCCAGCCTGTGTAAACTTGGTCCTCATCCAGAAACAGATGAGTACATGCTGCAATTGTTGGCTCATAGAAAAAAAATAACAACCCTCCCCAAAATGCATTTCTCTAACTGTTAGCATACTGTGGCATCTTTCTTTCCTCCTGAGTTTTGGTGACATTTTCTTCCAGCAAATACAGAGAAGGGAAAAGAGATGAAATGCATTTGCAAATGTAGTGCTGGACCTGCGTAATGCATTCAGAGCTCCCTGAAGGGAAACAATGGCTGTTGGGCACGCAGCTCAAAATGGCTGCACGGCTCAGCGCTGCCTTCAGCACTACCAGCACTGGCAGCAGGGAGGTCTGCAAAGCAGAAAGGAGAACGTCAGGAATGAGGAGCAACGAGAAAAAAAAACTAACTGCAGTGCTTCAATCTCAACTGCATTTCACTGACTCAGGACTGGGTATGTGACGTGCTCTGCTGTCTCACAGGACACCTGTTTGTACATTTGGGCCATCTGCATTTCTTAAGTGAGAATTTCAGAGGGGACTGAGGTGGGTGCATATCCCAAACCCACAGTGGTTGTCCTGCAGGCAAATCTAAAACAAATGGAAGTTAACACAGCCTTTGCAGAAAACTTGCCACTTCTGCCAATGCCTTTTGTGGAGATCACAAGAAGCTCGTGGGGTTTTTTCTGCTTTGTATCCAGAGACATAAAACTGTATGGTGTATTTGCATATCTTCTGAAAAATATAATTCAAGTTGAATGAAACAGAAGGCTGACAATTAAATCCCGTGCAAAGTTCTCACGTTGCATAGCAAAACAAACTCTTGATTCAGACACCAACCTGACACCCATTTAAACTGGCAGCTCTTGCAAGTCGCTGACTGCCAACATGGGAGCACGTTCCCATGGGCGTGCAAACCATCACAACGGACTCACTGAGTGTCACACACCATTAATACAATACACCATGACTTCTTTTTTAAAAGAACCCCTCCTCACCCCTCCTAAAAAACCAAAAGCAGGACATGCACGCTGATTAGCAATTACAAGGTAGGTAGGAACCCACGACTACGTGCCATTCAGTGCTGAGGAGTGGGAGACCGCGCTTGCCTTCCTGTCATGCCTGGGGAAATTCAGCCTTTGACATCTGACTGCCGCTTACCATCAAAGATTTTTAATAGCCCCACAGGAAAATACTCTCAACCTATGGCAGGTTAGGCCAAAATCAGTCAGCCAAGTGAAATGTAACACGACAGATCTGCGGGCACGGCAACCGCAGCTGCTAACAAAGTCAGAAACACGACGCTAGCCATCCCCGCGCCGGCAATGCCGGCCTGGCAGGACGCTCCCTATCGCTGCCGGGATATCGCCCCGAGCCGATGTCCGAGGGCTGTAAGCAAACTCTACCAGACTACTACAGACCAGTAATTTCCGCTCACGCATGCAGCAGGCACAGCGCATACCTACACGGCTCCGTTACGGGACCCGTCTCGACCCGCCGTCACACCGCTTCTGCCGGCAGCGCGCTGACTCCTCGCAACGCGGCTTTTCCTACGGGCTGCAGCAGAGCCCGGCTCGGAGCTCCCAGCCTGCGGGCTGAGCGGCGCGGGCTGCGGCACGCCGCTGGAGCGGCAGGCAGTTCAGTGCCGTGACACCGACACTGCCGGAGGGACCTTCATCTGTCCGTCCAGGCGGCCTGGCTACATCCGTGCACCTATTAAAGATCAGTGATACTCGAAGGAAGACTTTATTACGACCTGGCGGCGGACAGATGTTCCATCTCCTATTTCAGGAGGTGCAGTGACGCTAGCGGAGCTTTTCGGCGAGCGCCGCGCTGCTCATTCACCGCTTCCGACGCTCGGTACAGCCCGCACGCTGGCGGCACCAGGCGGTGCGGCTCCGCACGCGTCCGCTGTCACCCGCCGTGCCCTCCCCTCCCCGCGCCCCGCGGGCACTTACCGCCGCCGACGCACCGCCCTCAGCGGCCGCCGCGCGCCTCTCCCTGGCCGGCGGCCCCCGGCCTCCCGCGCCCTCGGCCGGCATCCCCGCTCCGGCCTCGCCCCCGCCGCCTCGCGGAGCCGGTCCCGCCCCTCCGTCCTTCTGTCGCGACATTCCGTCCCCTCCCCGCCGCCCGTCTCCCGTCGCCCGGACGACGCCCCGCCCCCTCGGCCACAGCGGCGCCCCAACGGCGCTACGCGACCGCGGCGCGGCGCATGCGCGGCGTTTTCGCGCGAAAGACGTTTGCGGCGCCCGGCTCTCGCGTGCCGCCGTCCCGACCCGCGGCGCCCCTCCGCCCCCCGCTCCTCCCCTCCTCGCCCTCCT